TTGGCTGCTAACTGCAACATCTTACATATATCAGGCATCTTAATATATCTTAAATCAATGTATCTTGTATATAACATCTTATATCCAATACATCCCATATGTGACATCATGTATCAAAATGTCTAGTATGGAATACTCAGAGAGTATAGAAAGTAAAGTATATTAGAATTCATTGTTATTGCGTCAGATCGTTCACTGAATATCTCCAAGTAAAATGCTGGCCCCTTCAGTCCTGTCTGAGTATCCAACTATGCCTGGTTCTACTCCATGCGACGAAAGTAAACCCAGATCAACCAAATCAATCAAGTCATTTCGTGATTGCTTGACTGGTTTCGCGGAGTACTAAAGGCTATATCGTAAATTGGCGGGTAGTCTATTTGAGAAGATTTAGCGCGAGTTAATTAATTGTCGTTTTTTGCTGAGATCATAGAAAGAGGTATAGTCTTGCGTAAACATTATATTTCATTTCCTTCAACCAAAACTCCATGCCTCTATTTAGATCAAAAAATCACTCTTTCCAAAATTATCGGTTTTGTGAAATACTCATTCATCAATTAATTGTGACTTTAAATACTACGTAATCGCGATTCATATTGTCTAACGAACAAGCCTATTAAATGCGTGCTAACCGCTTACCGAATTCAGCTCAGCTAACAACTCAGTAAATTCCTAAGACGGGATCTTGGCCGTTTTTTTTTGTTGTTTTTTTGCTTTTTTGTTTTTTTGTTTTTCTTTTTTTTTTTACAGACACCAATGCAAAGAATAGAGGATTGTTTTATAACCATCTTTTTGTCCGTTATTGTTCATCAAAGTTATTGCAAAATGAACCGGCACAGCTTGATATGTATGCAATTTCTTCAATTTCATGTAATAAATAAAATTTGAATCAAATAAGTAAATTTGAATTCGAATGAATAGTTTGAACACTAGACTTTGAGCGGTCTCTATTTCCTCNTAATAAATAAAATTTGAATCAAATAAGTAAATTTGAATTCGAATGAATAGTTTGAACACTAGACTTTGAGTGATAACAGTTATCGCTGCGCGAAAACTGAGTGCGCCTTTTTTTAGTCACATCATCTTTCTTTCCCCTTTTCGCACCTCAGTGTTGCTGTGTAATCTTTGACAGCATGGAGAACGCTGAAAAAATATAAGCAAACCCGAAAGAAGGCACTCGAGAAATTTCAACAAATTCAGGTCTCTCGGTACTTGATTTGACCAACAGTGAAGTAGATTGCTTTTCACGTTGTTCCTTTAGACCGCATTTAAAAACGAAAAGAAATCAATTATTCTTCTGTACACAGTGTAAATTAATATTTTTTTTATTGACCTTGCAACATAGTTCCTTTAAACAGTTAAAACATGAATTCGTGGTAATTTCCCTACTCCAACGTCAATAACGCTGTTTCGGCGGAAAATAAATAAAGCGGCGAAAAACTATATAAATGCAAAACAGTCTATTTCATCACACTGTTTGCTGCCCCCGATTAGCAGCTGTCGCTAACTACGTCCAATGTCTTGAACCTGTTTTCTTCCAATGTTTAGTGAATTTTTAGCCAAGATCTTAAGGAAATAACGCATTAACCCAACTACAATGTTGTTAAGCATGAACACAACGTCGAACTGTCTCAGTCCCGATAGTCTGAAAGCAGCATATATCGGAGGTACGTTGATTACAGCATTATCCTTATTGCTTCGCCTGCTGGAAATTCTTTCGTCGGAATAATTATCCATCCGAATTGGCAAGTCGAAATTATGCTAAAGTCGAACCAATTAATTTGAGTCGAACTTAATCGCGGCAAACTTCGCCCCACTCATGCGCCCATTTCAAAATTAATAGGTTCAACGAATTAAGTTCGACTAAGATTCCACGTTTGACCCAGGCCTTAGGCTTCTAAAAGGTTCCTTAAAGGTTTGTGAACAAATCGCATGCGTTTTGAAGTTCTTTTCTTTTTATATGTACACCGTCTCTTCAACCGTAGGAAATGTAACTCTAAATAAATGATCCAAGAAGGAGTTTTTGTTCAATTTGTTTAATCACGGTCAAACTAAGTGCGCAAGAAGCCAGCTTGAAAGAGAGATTTGCTGCGGGTACAATATTTTTTACTCATTTTCTTGTCTTCCGCAGGAACATTAACAGCATTAATTCGAATGAAAAGCTTGCACAATATCTACAGACAAACGGCACCATATATGGCCTAAAATCAACCCTTCGAAGCAAATGAGCAGGAGGTCAATCAATGAGATTTCTAACAAACTCGTCTCTTTTGACAAGCTACAATAAGGTAAACGACTATTAATGGTTTCTTTTCAGCCACGAATTTAAGTAAATGATAATAATATTGATTTTGCAAGGAATGCACCCTTGACAACTGAATGAGAAACTTTCACATCATAAGACTATTTCTTACTTACACCGATTCTTAACGAGTTCTTTGCCGTTTTGAATCAAAGCGTTTCTTATTGAATACGGAAGCGTGATTCTCCAAAACTATTAAAGCGATTTTCAATTGCCGAAAAAAACATCGCTTAAAAGGTCGCAAGTGGAAACGTTCTTACAAATTTGCAACCAAAACTTGACTTTTCAGTGCCGCATGTCACCGGATATGTTTTTTGTTTTTGTTTGTTTTTTGTTTTTTGTTTTTTTTTGTTTTGTTTTGTTTGTTTGTCTGTTTTGTTGTTTTTTCCGAGTTTTTATGTTGTTAAGGCAAGCAGCTATTGATTGTCCTGCGATAGCAATAGGGACAGCTATTTTGCTAAGAAGAATCACTTTTTCCGTGGCAGTACTTAGCTACTTGACGACGGACTACGAGTTAATACAGTGTATGCTGTCTTGCTCTCCGTCGATAATTTTTAGCTGCTGTCAAAGCGTTGAAATAGAGAAGAATTGTGTCTTTTAAGGTGGCCGAACACAGTTTCAAATGCCTATGCCTAGTTCACCATTGCTTTCAAACCATTTATGATTTGGAGCCCGTTTTTTGCAAGAGTCAAGGTTAACCACAGAAGGGTTTATTCTCCCATTTTGGCTAAGGTGTGTGCTGTTGCCATGGCAACGGGGCTGGTTAAAACAAGGCTTAAAAAATGGTTT